CCACAACATCAAAACAACAGGATTTTATCACACTGTGGGGACATTTGGTTGCACGCAAACACACACACACACACTGAGGTGAATCACAGTCCTGAAGGTGTGAACACACAAAGCTGCTTGGAGGTTAACGGTTTCCTTTAAACACACACACGCCGTCTACACTGGCACAAACACAGAGACGCACACGCATGCTCATAAGGCCTCCCTTACTCCGTCTGCTGGTCGGTCGTGGTGCGGCCGAAGTAGTCGAAGTCGATCTGGAACCAGCTATAGATGTCGGCGTGCACTTTGTGGTACTTGTCGCAGATCTCGCGGGGCGTCAGGCCCTCCTCGCGGGCTTTGTTCTCCGTGGCCGTGCCATATTCGTCGGTGCCACACACAAACAGCACGTTCCAGCCACGCAGGCGGCCGTACCTGAAAGCGTGCACGCACGTACATACACACACACACACAGGATTATCTCTGCACACCTCCTAGGGCAGATTTACAGGAACAGCAGAACACCCCACTGCCCCCCCACACACAAATTGTTCTTGTCTCAGGCTGTTTTTCCACCACATCAGGTATCGAACTTTTGGTAGTTCTAGAAAGTACCAAAAAGTACGGTACTTCAAGGTGTTAGTTTTCCTCTGGTGTAAAAACTAGTACCGGTGCCGAATGACATCACAATGTGAGGCGGGTATTTTGTACTGAATTCGAAAAATGGCTGTAAGACTGAACAACGTGCGATAATAATACCAGCATCACATGTTATGTACATCCAGTTCTCACATCGCTAGTCAGCTAAATTAAAATAAGGCCTTTTCAAACTTTCAATTCTGTACGGACATTATAGCGCAGGGTTAATTGTTTCGTTAATTTATTTTTACTCTGTTATTCTGTCATAGGAAAAAAAAAAAAAAAAAAAAAACTTAGTAAGCTTTACCTTTTGCATGAGGGCTGCATACGCTCTCCGACACAATGGTAATTATTTTCATTCTTGCCGTTTAAATCACTCGAAGACGGGTTTGTGAGAAATTGATGAACTCCTATATTTATAACAATATGACATCGCTAGGACAGCATGCTATATGCACACTGTATTAGTATATTCAACAAAATACTTTCTTGTCCGGATCTGTTTGTTGTACATGTTCTTATGACCAAATCGCATTTTTTGTTTTTACTTTATTATTTTCTGAGTTCGCGACTGTTTTCAAGGCGGCGCTTGTATTGTGTGTCAACAGCAGACTATTTGCATAACCAATCGACAAAGAAAGCGTTTCAAGTCCCACCCCAAGTACCAAAGTAGTACCCCAGCTGGATTGGCACTTTCGGTACTGGAACTTTTGGCACTGGGACTTTATGCCCAAAAGCAGTGCCAGAAAGACCGTTATGGATGTGAGCGACGAGGAAGGGGGCAGCGGTCACCTGGCGAAGACGTCGGCGCTGAGTACGCAGCCGATGATGTTTCCCAGATGCGGCACGTTGTTGACGTAGGGCAGCGCGCTGGTGATGAGCACGTTCTGGTGACCCTCCTGTGGCAAGCTGGCAAAGAGTCGCAGGGAAAGATATTAGCTTACGTTTGCGTGCGTTAGCACGTGGGCGATATGGTGGGAAGTGCTCGCGTTGCGGCGTGACGACTCACATGGGGTGCTGCCTTTCTGCCGGGGCGGGGAAGTCAGCCACCTGTCGTCTCCACGTCTCCTCGGCAGCCTGGATCTCCTCCTCGGTCATCTCATGCTCGCTGCTGTTCTCCTGGATGCCAGAAAGGTGGGACGTTCGGCGAGCTGGCTAGGTGCCATCCCACGGGAAAAGCACCCCAGCACCCCCCCCCACCCACCTCTGGCTGGCTGCAGGGCTGAGCGTCCCGCCGCTGAGTATGAGGCACCGGCTGCCTCTGCACGAAGCCCCTGAGCGCTGCCTTGCCGCCCTTCTCATTTAGGATGCTCCCGGCGGCTGCCTGACACGCGGGCAGCGCTGTGACGCGCTCGAACCACGCCGCCACGTGCTGAGAGTCACCTGGGAGACACGCAGGGTAAAGCCAGGAGGCAGCGGACGAGGCGGCACCTGGGCGTGAAAGTGCAGGCACGCTCACCTGGCAGGAAACTGGCATCGGAAAGGATGGGGTACAGCGCCCCCCACAGGACAATGTCAGCCACTGTTGCCGTCTCCTATTGGGAAAAAAAAAATATAGCTTCATTATGTTGTGAAGAACCAGAGGTCACTAGTTGCCTTTCAACTGTGCATAAAGACAAAAGAAAAAAAGTTGTTACTGACACGCAAATTAATGGCAGTCAGAATCAATAGAAAAGTTATAACACTAAGACGACCATCAGGATTTTGAGGCCCCTTTAAGTGGGTACCCAGCATACCGCTGTGAGGAAAGCAGTAGGTTTTTTGCTCAGGCTTTGCTCCAGGAACCTGAGGGGTCCTTCCAGGGCTTCTGCCGCTTCCGTCCTCTTCGCCTGCAGCACTGACAGGTGGAGCGCTTGCATCAGAGCGGGCTGAAAGAAACAAGACAGACCATGACATCACAGGCGTGGCTCAGGAAGAGAGCAGAGCAGCACTTCCACCCCAGGCCTCTGGGTGGAGCAGTGGCAGAGGAACTGCATTTCTGACCTGAGGGAACATCACCTCTCATCGGTGTAGCCTGAAGTGGCTTCCAGTCACCTAGAAACTACTCAAGGTGCTTCAGGCCAAGAGAGCAGCCAAGCAAATAAAAATTAATACTAAGCTGATGGTCTCACCTGAAGTTCTGTTGCTTCCCATTCCAGCCACTGATCCGTCTGACTGCTGGCTTCCTGTCCACTAAGTTCAAACAAATATCTGTGAAGAGGAAAAGAGAAACATGTGGGGAAAATCCCATGAATTTTCTCTCTGCCCTTGGTCACACAACGTTGAAAGGACCTTGAGTGGAGGAACCCATGACTTGGAATCAGGATTCGAAATTCTTTTCCAAATTGGAACGGCCACAACTGAAACGACCACATTACAGTAATTACCAGAAAAAAACCTTCATGTTCAAGACTGATAGCTGTGCAAATCAATCTACTTATGGGTACTGACAATAAATCGTGTAAATAAACAAGAACCACTGTGACCCTTTGATCTATACCAATATACCCCATAGCCACAAAGTGAAGAAGTGGTTACCATGATGATTAATCAACAATTCTGGATGAGGGTTCTACTGAAGCATCACTAGTTTCGAATCCAGATCTGAACGAGCAACATAGTCCATCTTCATGAAAGGATACAGCTATTTGTACCATCCCCTGTTAGTAAGCTCAGGTAATCTTGAGAGAGTCATGTCAACATTTCCCAGGCAAAACAGATCATACTTCAAAGCCAGTAACACTATTTCTATTGGGCCTGAAATACGCCTCACCTCAAAGGTTCTGTGAAAGACTCACGTGAAGCTAATGACCCTATTTGGGTACGAGTGTGCATGCATGAAAAATTGCCACCATTGATGGAGTTTGATGGAGAAACGCTTATTAACTGTGAGGAGGCAAGAGAGAAGGTGAACGTGGATGATCAGATCTAAGGATGCACTAATGGGACCTTTGGGTAACCAGAAACATGTCAACCATGGAGACAACACTGGGAGAATGGAAGTAAAGTTCCACCACGGAGCTGTATGTAGCCAACAAAACTTTTCGTCTTGCTGTGGGAATCACTGACCTGCAGATGGCATTGGGCATGAAGAGATGGACTCCTACGGATGGCTGGAGCACGGGCAATACAGGGCGGCTCAGAGTGGGCACGATTCGCTCTGCACAGAGAAAGAGGGGATTAGGCCCAAATGCTGGAAATCAGAAGGCGTCAAACCTGGGCATGATCCATATGGCTGACATTTCTGCTTCTATGTGCTGGAGAGGAACATGTGTGTTACACCACGAGTACCATATGACCACCAGTGCAGACCATATGAAGTGAATATGGGATTCTGCATGTTCAGTTACTGAATTCAAACTCATTCAATATTCCCAACCTTTATGTTGACGTATCTTCACATTGCATCACATTAGAGGCAAAAATGTTTAGCAATTCTGTCATTCTGAGACTGAATGTCACCCAACCCTGCAGGACAACCGGTTTGTCAGTGCTGCAAGGTGGAGGAAAAAAAATCCAGTTTTATTTTCACATTTGAGGAAGCAAATCCAACATGTTTTGATCTCTTTAGTAGTCATGATTTAAATTAATGTAATTCCAGAACTGTGTGATTCACCCCCAATGTGGATGCTATCAAGACTCGAATCAAGGGTCACACTAAATAAGAACGAAATAAGAAGTGAAATCACTTAAACCCTTATCTGTCCATTTGAAGTGTAAATGTTCGACTGCAACACTGTAGCATTTTAAATGAAGCAACTACCATTTTAACTGTTATAACACTCAGTAGTAGCTTTTGACCGAATGGCCGAAAACCGAATGCCACGGGAAACATTCCAACAGATTTGTCACTAGTGGAATTATGCCTACTCTTTTAATTGTGTAGTAGTAAGTGTTCACTCACCCTCCGGGTGGGCATGATGGATGTCACATTTCGCTCCAGTCAGTTCCACTGCCGCCAAGACCTTCATACACTGTGGATTACCTTCGCTCAGATAAAGCTTCATTTTGCCCGTGGTGCCCTAGATTTGAGGAAAAAAAACCCTTCTCGTTCAAACTACTTATACTCAGAAACCTACCTCGCCGGCAAACTAATATTGTGCGTCTGATGCAACTACGACATAATACCTAATGGCGAATATTGTAGTTTTACACATGTGGCGTTGCTTGCTACAGAAGGGGGTAAGAGTTCTCTGTAAACTACACTTCCCAAGAACATGTACACACACGCTTAAACTTACTGTGCCACTATTGGCAGAATCATTCAATGCCTCCTTAAAACTTTAACTCTGATTGGTTCATGTAGATCACATGGAGATGGTTGAGAGATAAACGTCGAATTTGTAGGGAAGATCCCATGTTCGGCAAGAATTCATGAAGTCAGCGTTAAACCACTGTCACGTGACACGTCAAACAGGTGACGTTTCGAACCTCAAGCTATGAAACGAGTCATTACAACTCTGTTACTTTGCAAGGTGCGGGATGGTCACCGTTAGTTTAAATCGTTTACGTTAATTTTGAAAAAAAAATCACTGAGACAATTAAGCTTATTATGGTGAGTGTAATTATTTAATTATTATCTTGTCTGAGCTTTAATTGTAATTTAATTTATACATTGACGCTTTTTGTGCTGGTTTAAATGGAATTTCAATTCACTGTTATTAAAGTTAACTTTTCCGCCTAAAGAAACCGAAATTCGTGTATAATGTTTCAACCCTGTTTCCACTGCGCTATGGAATTTGATGTTATGCAAACTAATGTGTTTTTCACGCTTAGTTTTAAAAAGGAATCCCTGTAAAGTCCGTAATTTGCAAAATAATATAGAAACGACAGTTCGTAAACTTATATTTTATTATGAAAAATTGTACGATATATATAGGACCCATATAATTAAAAGTAATATTCACCGTAATCTAAATTAGGAAAAGTATTTCATTGATACAGGCCCAGTAGAACTCAAGATTTATAATCCCGTTTTTGCTATTTCACGAACACCACTGAATCGAGTATGTTTCAGTTATTGCACTGTATCCATCAATCATAGCGCATTATGTCGTGACAATCTCCCGTAATGTTACTTGTTTTACAGACCTGCGCCAACACTGATATGTATCGTATTGAAAAGACATATATAATCATGACTGATTATACTCTTTCTGTGTGGAGAGCTTGTTATTCTGTAAAGTTGTCCAGTATTCAAAAATGAATTCGAAAATGTTGTCGTTTCTGCTGTGTTACTTTTCTACCGTCGTCTTTCGTTTCACATCCATTGGTTACAGAAGTTTGAGTCATAGAAAGTGGTCCTCTAAGGTGGTACAGATTAGCCAGTTATTAAGAACTATCCGCGGGATAGCAGTGAAAATCGAAAGTGTGAGCAGCACACAAAGCCCAAACCGAAAAGCAAAGCTGATGTCGTCTAGGCGACTCAACATTAATTACAGCGTTTCTGCAACATTCCCTTCCGTATTTCCACCAAAAGATCGCAAGCTGTTGATTCAGTGTACATTACGAATCTGCTGCCAAACGTCGGACGTGCAATAACATGAAAGTTTTACAATCGTTTTTATATTCCCAGTCCAACATTCCAGTAACTACGCCCCGATGCTCAAGTGCATGTTGTTAAGGAGATTGTTGAACAATTCACCTGCTGTTTGTGGCCATTTTATGCATACTCTTTGTATGCTGTGGATGTATGAATTTAATCGAGAGGTTGCATTCGTGTATTTTATATATAGTTTTTTTTATGGAGAATGTCAGTTGTGCATTTGGACTGTTTATACTTATTTCTTATGTAATTTTTAAGTGAAAATTCTGGGATGCGATAAATTTGCTATACTGTAAGAAATTCAGCGTGAGTAGCCGATCGTCCCTTCTAGCGCGAAGCCAGTGCACGTCAGGGAAAGAGTAGTCAACGATGTGTGTCATAGACGGTGGGAGTGAAAAATGCATGTTTTTGAAGTTTTGGTTGTTTCCTCACTGAAGAGTGTGCTTAACAGTCATCTTGTGAGAGGACAGTCTGACAAACATTACCGTTCACAATTTTAAGTAACCCATAGCGTGTGTCCTCCTTGGTGGGATTAGTAAAATCGCTTTAATTTTTGTGTAATTGACTAAATGTTTTTTGTGGCGTCCTTTGCACTTTTAAGCTGCCATATTACAGGCCTGCAGTTAGGGTATGAATTGCCTTTATGAAGCCATCATTGGACTTTATCATTAAATTGATCTGTAGCTAAAGTGTCCGGTCTGTAATGGTAATTAAGCAGTATGAAGGGCGAGATAATCCCATGCATTTTAAGGCTCGGGATCATCGGCAGCTTCTGATTTGTTTAAGACCAGCCCAGGGTGTTTAGCAACTGTTGTACAACTGAAAAGAGAATTAATGCAATGTTTATTGATAACGTAATCAACATAACCACTACCTGTTTCTTGGGTCGTACTCTCCATCTAGATCTGGAATGTGTTTAATTCTGCCTCATTTGTCAGTGGTACGTCTAATTATGTGTAACATGTATCGTAGGCCTATATGAACTAGACAGTGAAGTCAAATGACAAACACCAGAAAGGAAATCATTCTGACAGTTTATAAATGGGGATTTTTCTTATCTTGTTTTTTTTTCTTTCCTCAAGTTTCAAAATGAGTTTTGCATTGACATCACACACACGGGGCCACATTGCTATATCCTATACCGGAACCGCGAAGCTGTATGTATGAACAAAATGAATATCCTATTCCACATAGACAAGATGTTTAAACGGGGAAAAAGACTTCAGAATGTATATACAATAGATAAAAGCAGAACAATACGATGTCATAAATATTGCTGCAATCTATCTTTACGCGGCTGACATTTTCGAGCGATTTCACTGAAACGATCACGGTCCAGTAACTCAATTACTGCCCCGTCTATCATCAAGCTATCAGCCAGTTCTGTCTGAACCCCCGTCCTGACATGTGTGCACTGGTGCGTTTTTGAACTGTTTTTTTCTCTTGTCCTGTTTGGCCGCCGTCAGACTGCGCTCTCTGGTTAGCGGCATGTCCTCTGCGGGCGCTGATGCTCTCGATTCTCTGAACTGCTCCCGATTTGCAGGCCGGTTTCGTTTCAAATGTTTTTTTGTACAGACTTGAAATCTTGTAGGCAAAGATGGTTTCATCCTCATAACCAGCTAAGCACTTATCTGTACCGTCTTGGTAAAAAAAATCGTTTTCATGAATCAGTCAGCGTGTCCTGTACAGACGGACCGCTGGTAAATAACCCATATTTAACATCCTTGTGGGGGGGAGCGTTTCCGCTTCGCGGCGGGAGTTATGTCTGCGATGTCGGATGACCTGTAGTTTGCATTCAGGCACATTAAGGCGTTTTGTGGATGTGCAGGATGTTAGTTGCGAAATTATCCGCGGCAGCACATGCTTCAACTGGTATACAGTTGTAAATTTTTTTCCTTTAGTAAAGGTACAACTGCAGCGACCTTCGGATCTCCTGCCACTAACCACCTATCAAAGGATGGGTTAGGTCAAGCTGATGCCTCTGAAGCCTCACTTTTGTAAAAATGACTGCAGCTCGACTTCCTGTTTAACAGGAATCATTAACTCAGTGAGAATGCATTGTATTTCTTTACCTCCAGTGCACGAACAATTGGAACCTTTTTCTTATTTTTTTTTCGTTTGGCACCCTGGACATTTGGGCTGAAGCTTAACTTTTCTCAACGCTTTCTTCCCTGGTGGACTATATAGGCTACCTTAATGCAGTCGCTTTGATGTGGGGACCGGTTTGCTAAACAGCTGGCTGTACTCTGGCATTACCTGTCACGGTTAGCAGATGCACATTTTGTGCCGGGCACCAGAACCCCTGTCCCCACGGCGCTGGTACGGGTCGGGACTCCGGGACATGCACACGCTGCTCCCGCTGCCGCTCCATGCGTTTTGTCCCCGATTGCAGACAGAGCCATCGACATGACATGCGGGGTTATCCTCCATGATATGCCCAAATACACCCCATTCTGGGCTTCGTGTCAGTACATCCTCAATGTGAATGTGTTAAGGTTGAGTCATCGGCTGAACCCGCGCGAGCACAAAGATATGCAACTAAGTGTAATTATTGCACTGCGATTGAGAAAATAGCTGAAACCCAATCGGCCAAGGTTGTTTAATGTTCAAGTAAGGGATATATATTTGTTAAAGCTTCTCGTTATTATAGGGTTGTATAAGTATTGTTATCAAGAAAAAAATTATAACATTGAACAGTCAGCGATTCTACGCAACACAAGTTAATATCATGATAGTTAGCCTACTTGACTAAAAATAAAAGTGTATAGTGCAGTAAGAACTTGAAAAGTACGGAAATTATGAGTCGATTTATTTCCACCCCAACTCTATATACTGCCATTACTACTATACTCAGATAGCTTCATGTTATTGTTTCAACGTTGAATTATAGTTAAATGCGTTGAATTATGGTCAGTGATAAATTAACTTAATTGATCTTTGGTCAGATTTTCAATATTGAAAAATTGATGGTGGCAGAACCTTGATTCGATGTTGATATAAAGTGAAAGACTGAAGATCAACGTTGTTTCAACCTTTTTGCCTGATACGGAATCAATGTCATTTCAACAAATGTGTGCTACATAAACCGAAAATGCATTTCCTGACAGCAAAAAAACTGCACCCTCGTGCAAAGGACATTTTCCGTATGAAAATAAGCCGTTCTTTGAAGAGGACATTACTGTCGCCTTCTGAAATGAACGGAATACCTAGAGAGACCTATGACACTTATACCGAAAGTAATGAGGAGTAGAAAATCAAAAGGGAAAAAAAAACAGCACTTGTATAAAAGATGACTGCATCGCAGATGAAATCTGGATAACCTTAAAAGGAAATTGGTAAATGCATACGAAAGTATAGGCATATGTCATTAAAAAAGACTGTGACTATAAGAACTATTATACTATAAGTCTATATTTGAAATTCTGTAGCGTAGATGGGTGGTAAAATTTGTGCGTCGTTCTGTCTTCTGTTAAGTTGGTTGTTACTGAATGGAATCCGTCGCATTTGGGGATGTTTAACAGGCTCTATCCCGCGTCCACAACGGCACCCGTGTCTGTTTCTGACCGCTCTGGCCAAACAACAGGTGTAATATTGTCTGCCGTGTGTCACTCCCTCCCCCCTTCAACATCACCGCCACCACACACAGGAGGCCTGCAAATGACGCAAGTCGAAGTGATGCCATATAGGCGCGTCGCGGATTCATGTCGTACGTCCCGATCGGATCGTCGTCCTTTTTAATATTGATTTGTGCTATAAGGAATGAACCATAAGATTTTTTTCCTGTCTTGAGAACAGGCCAGTGTCAAAGGAAGTGCCGCCCACGTAAAATAAAAAAGAGCCGTTTTTTGTTTGCGCTGTTTTGTTGTTAAGCCCGGATTTTAGGTACAACCCAAAGTGCATTTGCTTATACAGAGAGCGTAAAGAACCGCATTAACACATGATTAATGTAAATTAAATTTTCAGCCAGTTGTTTGAGGCCCGAGTCGGTCCTCATCGGGCAAAGTAAAAGG